TGTTGCCAAGCTCTCGCTGCTGCTGCCGCAGCCGACGGCCCATCTCCCGCTGCTGCGCCTGCTCCTCTTTCGCCCCCCTGGCGCCATCGATGTCATTGCCCCTGATGCACTCGAGTGCCATGCGCCGCGCATCCTGGGGCGTTTCGGGCGGGCCGTGCACGGTGAGGCCCCCCCCCCCTCGCTCGCGCTTCTTGCCCGCGCCTCGGCCGCGGACGGTCGCCATGCAGCCGGCGATTGCCTCGATGCCCTTCTCGTCCTTGGCGGACAACGCGCCATCCTTCACGAGCCTGGGCCCCATGTAACCCTCGGCGGGCGGGGGCGGCAGGTCGCGCGCATCGCCCCTCCCGGGGGCTGGCCACATCGCGCTCGAGCAACCGCGGCCTCAACAAAACGGAGCAGCGGGTTGCGCCAAGTGCGATCGAAAGGGGGATGGAAGGGGGCGGGGGGGGGGGGGGCGGGGCGGGAATGAGTGCGAGTCTGAGTGCGAGTGTGAGTGGGGGTGCACGAGTGTGAACGAGAGTGCGCATGAGCGCGCATTAGAACTAGTGGGTCTGAATGCGAGCGAGTCTGGGTTTGACTGCGTGTCTGAGTGCGAGTGCGAGTGTGAGCGCGAATGTGCACGAGGGTGAGTGGGCCTCAATGCGAGCGAGTCTGGGCGCGATTGAGTCTGGCCTTGGGGCGCACCCCTCCCGCAGCCGACAGGGTCAAAACAAATGATAACCAGAATGGGGGACCCTGCTTGGGAACATCCAGAAGACGCCCTACATCTCGAATACGATGTGCAAACGCCTCCTGGGAAAGCCCGATACCCCATGGCCCAAGACCGCCCAGCCGCCCCGAAACTACTAGCACCTGCGTTTCTCTTTCGCGTTGTAGGGTGGCGAGCCTACCCGATGGCTTCAGAACCGCTGCAGAACGGGCAAACGCGGCCGCATGCCTGGTCGCAGATCCACGTACGGGACCGCGGAACCACTGCCTCCACGGAGGCCCGCGCCCACGAGTTGCGCTTCCCCCACTTCCCGCCTGGCACCTCTTCACACAGCTGAACAGAGACTGCAAGCGCGCGTCGGCCTGTGCCCCTGAGGGACCCGCCAGCAAAATAACAGCATATCCCGACGACGTGGCGGTCTGC